GTGTGTGTGTGTGTGTGTGTGTGTGTAAATATCTTTTATTATTTTCTCGTTTTTGCTTTGTTACATGTTTGATATACCCTACATAGAAAAAAATCTGTGAATCGACTTTAATGCTGCAAGACACAATCAAAAAAGTTGTACATAAAAGTGCCTTAACTAATCGTAGGCAGTAAGTTATATTAATATTTATATCTTTTTTATATTCGAAATTTTTAACAGAATATTTAAGATACTAATATATAAGAGTTATTATTACATTTTTCTAAGCACTAAGTCGTGCTATCTGTTTTACGATATTATGATCTATTCAAGAACGAAAGTAGTCATTATATTGTATATGACGTTGCAGCAATTAAATATTTTTTAATGCATTCTTTAAGAAAATATTTAACGGCGTGCTAAAAAATGTATACATTTACGTGCCTTAACTATGCGAAATAAAACAATGCGATCAGATCTTTAATTTCCTTGTCATAATTCATTAGTTAACGATTCTCTCCCTCTCTTTTCCCCAAGTATAATATTATCCAATATTATTTACAAAAAATATGATTTGCTTAATAGAAACGATGAAATTGTTGCAAATATATATTAATTTATGCGATTATATTTATTATAAGATCTATACGCTTCATAATATATATATATAATACGTGCTTATTAATAGTATACATTTTTTCAAGAGCGATATCGATTATAATGTATATTATACATTTTTGTTGTAAATTTTATATTACTTACAAATGCGTTACAATACTCGACCGTTCTTTCGTTTCGAGTTAAATCAAAGTATTATGAAAAAGTCGAAAGTGTCATTTTAGGATTAAGACTTAATGTAAATTATACACGAAAATAGATCATATTTTCATTACTACTAGTGATATTGACATTCTTGTAAATATCAGTGCCTTAATTAAGCTTAAAATAAGTATTGTGCGATCTTGTACTTGATATATCTTTTTATAGTATTTAAAATACATTTTACTAATTATGTACATCGTAGATTTAATTTAACAATCTATACATCCTATACCATAATAATTATTTATAAAGATAATCAAACTATTAAAAAAATTTTAAAAAGGAGAACAAAAAACCAAATTAAAACGTATTAAATAAAATTTATACTTATTTCATTGTTATTTAAAGGTATGATTGTATTAATCCAGTTTTAGATTTTTTTATACCATCATCTTTTTCTGAATAATTTGAAGTTTGTACGAAGAAAATGAGAGTGATTTACGTTAACTTAAAATTATAAGCAAGATTAACTATAATTAAAACGCATCAATAATTTCATTTTTTTCGTCATGTGTCACGAGAATATAAAACTTTTTTGTATTTTTAACGTTTGCTTTATGATCGATAAGCTGATTTCCGGGGAAAAGGTTGTACTTATCGCTGTGTCATGTTTGGGGCAATAGTTTCACATTGACAAACATTAATGAGTTCGAAATTAAAAGCTCATCCGGTCTACGATTATTTTGCGTGATATAAATGAACAAACAATGTGATATTGACGAGGTCACTGTATAATTGAAAAGTAAGAATACATATACCGAATATATTCTTGCGGACTATTAGCTATAAAATATCGGTCTTTACTGTGTGCAAAAGTAGAAACGCGTTCATCGTGAAAACGTGAAATTGTAGTTAACGTTCCGTTAATACCTCAATAGCAAGTGAAATATTTTTATTAAGGTACAGTTACATTAACTCTGGTTTTTTGAGTTCTATTTCTTCTAATATCAACATCATAATTAGTAAGTAAAAAAAAATACTAAAAAAGTGAAGAATAACTGAAAAAGTGAGGAACAACTGAGTAAATTACATAGCTAGACAAATACTTTTTTAAATCGCAATGGATGCGGATCCAGTAACAACATCTTATTTACCGACCATAATTTATTCTCTACTGGGAACAATTGTTACACTATTAATTGCATTATATTATTATATCGAAACCTCTCGAGCAGTTCGTCTTATAAAAAAATTACCAGGTACGTATACATTAACAATAAAAAATGTTTAATTTCTAATTCGACATACAGTCG